TAATGGGCGGGGGAGACTCCCAACCCCTACATCAGAGCTTTGGGTCCAAGGAAAGCACGGTACCAGATTGGAAGTTCGCTACACTGGGCATTCCTGAGCGGCTGATGGAAGTGAACCTGAACCTGCTCGGGTCTGCGACAAGCAAGGGCTGGCAGAACGATGACCAGAGATCAAGTGGGGGGGGGTTGCAAATAGCCAGGGAGCCCAACACCGTTGAATTTTCGACCATATCTTCAGCTGTCTAAACCCGACGCCCTGAACCCTATAAGCCCTACACCACCCTACACCGCCAGGCTGGGGGCAGCTGATGCATTCTCGCCGACATGGCCTCACAGGATTCTCGGGCTGGGAGTTGCTGAAACATCTTGCTTTTAGGGGTTTAAGGTTTAGGGCTTAGGGTTTAAGGTTTAGGTTTTTGGACCGATACCTCGCAGAGTGCAGAGAAAGAAAGATTACATGAGAAAGGATTTTTCTATACCTCCCATAAGGTAGGAAAAGAAAGATCATATGAAGATGCGATTAAACAAACAGTATGCTGTGTACACACCATTGGGGTGGCGACCCCCACAACCTCCCTCTAAAACAAAACTGTCATGTGCTTTATCTGCCACGTCATTACATGCAACATTCAGCAGTTCCAAACCCGAAACCCTACTTGGAGGTTCATGGGTAGTTATAAGTGGGGTTGTAAGTCCCCTAATACGGGTTATAACTATAGTTACCTTACAACCCCACTTATAACTACCCGTGAACCCTAAACCCTAAACCCTAAACCCCATAGAACCCGTTAAAGGAACCCTTAAGGAACCCCTTATAACCCCATTTATAACTACCCATGATTCCCTGTAACTCAAGGCCGGCAGGCAAGTTTTGAGGATTCTTCGGCTCCTGGGCTTGAAGCCCTGCGAATTCAGACTGTTGGTTAGTGGCTGAGTAGGTAACCTTTAACTTTTTGGGGTTTATATAATCCTACCATAATTGAAAAGGTTAACCTTTTTTGGGCTAGGGTACCCAGCCCCTAAGGTTGAATGCTGAATTTTGCTTGTAACCACGGGTCGTTACCGATTAGCTCTAACCCTAAACCCTCGAAATCCTAGACCCCTAAATCTTGAACCCTAAACCAACAGATCCGACAGAAGCCGAACGAAGCATGACGCCGTAAATTTCAACCCCTGTACCCGCCTGAACCTACCTCAAGTTTGCTTAGGACCTCATCTGTTTAGCCCGAGTGCGATAGCATACACAGCCGCTTTTTGGAAGCTCGTTGCTGCCGAGGAAGCGCAGGATTCTCCGATTTGAAGTCCGAGTTTCTGGAGATGCTCCATACTGGGGCAGATTTCCGGACACCTCTTCACGAGGTGGTCTGACCTCGGTTCTTGAGGGCTAAATACAGAGACCTTACTACTTAGACGTGTATCAAAAGATAATTCCGGGACTATACGGGAGTAACTGTACTATTTATTTAGGCTGAGTGCCCTTTTTGTTTAGGCTTCTGCATTACTTCAGGATGGACGAGGTTGGGAACGGCTAGATCTGGTGGAGCTGGCTGGGGGTGGGGAATATGTGTCAGATTTCAAAGGCAGAACCCATAAAAAAACAAAAACTGAAGGTAACCCCTCCAGGTCATGCCGCAGAAGTTGGCCGTGTCCGAAGATGTCCGCACGAAGCTTCTGAATCTCCAGTCCCTTCTACAGTGTCTTAGTTCTCCAATGCCCAACCTTTAGGGTTTTAGGGGTTTAGGGTTTAGGGTTCTCTAAATCTTAGTTCTCCAATAGCCAACCTTTAACCTTTTTTGGTTCTTATGATTTATATAGTAGTAATCTGAGAGCTTAGCCTTTTATTTCCCTGGCTTATTATTGGGGAGTAAGGTGTGTGGCATACTATCGACTGCCTATGCAATCTGACCACCTCAATCTCTTCGAGACGTGTTGGAGGGGAGCCTTCGTCAGTAGCTGAGTGGGGGGCTCTGAAATTCAACCCTTCCGAGTTTGTGTACGCCATTGTAATCCTAACTCCATGAACCTTGTTATCCTTTTTGTGTTTATTTAATGCTACCACAGTTAAGAACGGTTTAGGGTTTAGGCCACAAAATCTCAAGGCCCAAATGCCCCAACACCCCAAACCCCGGTGCTCAGCTCCTAAGGAACAGCTGAGCCGTTTGCACCAGCACGCCGGCTCGACCTGGATGAAGTGGCGAGTTTGGGGACAAGGCGCCCTAAACTCTGGTCCGACAGGTTTAGGGTCTAATATAGGGGCCTAACTAGTTACCTATACTATTCTGGGAGTTCCTTATTATTTTAGGGTCTATCTAATTACCTATACTATTCTGGGAGCTCCTTATTCTAATTATGGTATAAGATACCCCAAAGCCCTAGTCTAATTATCAAGGCCCCTACATTCGGTTTCAGGGGTGCCAGCCTTCAACCAATCGGAATAGGCATCTAGGGTGTATTCTTCCTTGTTGTCATGCCTGTAAGGATTACGGTATATCTTAAGGTCGCTATGACCTAACCCTAAACCCTAAACCCTAACACTTTATTATTTCACCCGGAATCTCCGAACACTCAAGGCGGAAGACCAAGCAACTGGCTGAGAGGCCTTGTCAGCTAGACCCGCGCACATTCGTTGGATACCGGGCTGATGTCAAAGAGGTTTAGGGTTTAGGGGTTTAGGGTTTAGGGTTTAGGGGTTTTGTTTGGTTTAGGGTTTAGGGTAAAAAGGGTTTGTTTTTCTGAAGCAGTTATCATATATTGGCCCTGCATTACCCCTATTACTTATTCAGGCGATGTAGTGTCATACACACTTCTAAACCCTAAATCTGCAATTTTCTTTTCGTTTGTTCCCCATGACACCGGACAAGTATGTCGGCCTCAGTTCCATATGCCAAGCACTCAGGATATTCCCGCGTCCTCCTGCAGTTGGTGTTGCCTGCCGACATTGCGGACAAGCTTGTGTACGTGAGTACGAACTGGTATTGGGATAACCTCAAGGCCATTCCTTACAGGAACGCGGGGCCTGGATAATCACCAATAACTAGATTGGGGTCAAGTTTACAATGATATACACGACTACCCTGTTCGAGCTGTCAAGCAACGTATATTACACCCTGGACCCTCGTAGGGTTTATGACAAGGGGTGAGGACGGGAGGACCCTTAAAATCAGGAGGGAGCTTTACGGATTCCTTCTTCATGTTAGGGGTTTCTTGCGCCAAGGATCTTGCTGCTGTGCAGGTCTGTGTTGGGGTTCCGTTACTGGTTTCTGAAGCTCCCATAGACCTTCTTTCACAAGCCCTATATGCCCTAAATAAACCCTAAACCCTAAACTTTCCTCAAACCTCCTGTTATAAATATGAACCCTATTATATGCCTTAATCGTTTCCCCCTATTATTAAAGGTCCCCCCCCTCCCTAATATTACAACTGGATTTCGGCGGTTCGGTTTTAA